AATGAAAGGATGTTTGATGAAAATGTGAATTCAATCATGTAATGAAAAGATATTTAAGGGTGGAACTTTTTTGGATTCATTTCTTTCAAGCTGTGTCCCATTTCCTTCCCTTGGGCCGGACAGTAGTAGGAATCTCTGCTGAAGTCACTGCTGGAGTAAGGCAGAGAACAAATGCACAGAATAAAGTCTAAGGTCTACTCCAACCCAGGGTGAGAGGCATCAGCACAAAATGAGTTATTAGAGTAAGAGTGCAAAAGAAAAATAGATAATTCTCTCTTTTGGTAATTGAAAAGAAACCCAAAACAGTGCTAAACTCTTGGGCTTATAAAATGCTGGACATGGTAGTAGATGCCTGTAATTCCAGCATTCGGGAGGCTGAAGCAGGAGGATCACCATGAGTTCAGGGCCAGCCTAGGGTACTTAATGAGCTCAAGATTAGCCTCAACTTCATAGTGAGACCCTGTCTCAGAAAAAACAAACAGAAAAACTCCCTCTGCAAGTGACTCTGTGTTTAGGAGGAAGGTCAACTCTTCTTTTTGCCTTCGTTTTCAAGTTGCCCTCTGGGGATGGTAGGACACTGGGTGCTAGCAGCTGCTTTGGGAACCAACCAGACCCCTCGGCTCTGTGTGTGCTTTTCCCATGTGTGCTCTTTGAAGCCTTCCTTGGCCATGCTATGGGCAGCAGAAGAACACAGCAAAGCCTAAGTTAATTCAGTTTGTGGACAGTAAGTATAGGCCTAGGCTTGGGGGAGGCTTGAGTGAAGCTACTGGCTGCAAGCAAGCTTCGGGATTATCTGTGCACCTCACTGGCCCCGGTTACCCTTTCTTACCTTCCCTGTCTTCCTTGTGCCTGACTCCCCCTGCAATCATCGCAGAGAGCTGAGAAGTTTTAGTTCAGTAAATTATCCTTGGGACCTATATTGCCTTGAGCAGTCTCCACCACAAACTGCTGGCCTTTCTGGGGTCACAGCTTTCCAGATGGGATCTTCCCAGAGTGAGGCCAGGATGGGAGGGATTTTGATCTCAGTGTTTTCCGGGCACATGTGGAAATCAGACCTCCAGGGAATTCGCTGTATCTTGTACTCAAAGACATGGTATTTTTACATTGGATATTCTTGCTTTCTATGAGCATCTTGAATATAATGCCCTCCTCACATGATTGCTGCTAAACGTTTTATGAATGAACAAATGATTATTTCCTTAAATAGCTCAGTCGTAAGTCTTCTCTCAATGCAGGGGCTGTGTTCTGATTTGATTGTTAGTTCACCCACCGCACTCAGTCCAAGATCAGTCCTCGGTCCAAGTTCTTCTTTGTGGGTCAGACAAAAGGAGTGGATTTGTTCACTCAGCTCCAGCCCTCACTGTCTATGGGGCCAGCACCCAAAGGGCCCCCCAGTGTATGCCAAAGCTACCCCTACCCAAGGCCTTCCTTCAGCCATCTCTGAACAATGCTCTGTTGTCATGGGATACAAGTGTTCACTGCAGAGGACATGGGTGGAGAGAAACTGAGGCAGCGACAGAAGCTCTTTGCTGTTCTCCCTGCATTTTGAGTAGCAGAGGCTATAACAGAATTCCTATATGCTCTAAGTGTTGGACAGATTCTTCCCAAACAGCTTTCAGCTGCTCCACCTTCTGCCCCAGCTCTGGTCCAGGAATTCCAGCCCCAGAGTTTAGCACATAAATTCCCTGGGGCCACGGCATAGACCCCCCAGTATGCTGGAAAAGCCAATAATTACTTAGTGGAATAGATCAGACTCGCATTAAGAATGTGGCCAACTGAAGAACATATGAATGATCTACCTTCGTACACTTGTATTTACTGACTTATTAATCCATTATTTAAGTGTTCCATAATTTAAAAACTTCCTTGCTTTGTAAGTGGTAAGACTTTCCAGTTAAAGACAATCATTGTAGTCCCAACACCCACTATGTTCCTAATTAGCTCTGTAATTAAATTACCAATTAAAGAGAACTGAAAAAACTCTTCATTGGATAAAGCAAAATGTCCTTAATTATGATGTTGTATCCTTGATGAACAGAAGTAAAAATATATATACACACACTCACACTCAAAATATTAAATATATATGTACCCATCTATAAATGTCATCTTTTCATAGACTTTTCCATACCACAGCTTCACACTTAAGCTACACGCCAGAGTTGTGACTCTCCTTGTTTTTTTGGTTTTTATTTTTCAAGTGGGTGGGAGAGAAAAAGGGACAAAGCAAGTCAACTTTATTGGTTTAAACTTGCCTCATGAAAATAATGATATTGATCAATTTTATAGGGCTTGATTCAAAAGGGAATTGTTCAAGCTACTTCCAAATGAGAGCAATACAATAAAGAAAAGGCACATAAGATGTAATACTATCATTGAAAGGGCCAACTTTTGCTACCTATTAACCCTGCTTTCTCTCACACAAAAGCAGTTAGGATGGTCTACAAGATACAACAGTGATTTAGAAGAGTCCCCTGGCATTGTGCCTTAGTGGATCTGAGGGTTGACTCTATAAAGCTTCATGTAGCTCTGTTTTCCTGATCCATAATGCAAGAGAGAGAATAGAAACAACTATGAACAGGAAGGAAAGAACCTCTCTTTTTTTCTGTATTTACATTTTACAAAATTTACCATTTTTCTGAGGGTGCAGAATGACTAGTGTGTTAATTATGTTCACAACTGCACATACCAAGTCAGGAAATACCAAAAGAAAAAAAAAACACAACTTCTTGCAGCAAAACTGAGTTACTGAAGTTGCCCGTGGCATATAATGAAGTCATACACTGTCCCACTGTTCAAACATTCCAAATAGTGAATGTGCCAAATAACCACTTCTTGGTTATTGCCGGGGGGGGGGCTGTTAATTCATTTCCCAAACCTTCCCTGCCTTCCCCCTGCCTCATACCCCTCCCAAGTCATTCTATATATCTGTGCATTTCAGTACATTGATTTTTAAGTCTTGAAGCTAGATCTTGTGTTGTATACTTCATTCAGGGAGAAAGGAATTTAGCACAAACATTCCAAAGGAAATTCTAGTAGGGTGATGAAATTTAGTGTAGAAATTTTTATCTCAAAGGGGAGATGAGTTTGGGAAAGTTCTTATTATGCAGCAATTTTCCATGGACAAAATTAAACTCTTGTCCCTGCTACCATAAGCATAATAAGAGCCACATTTATAAGTGTCCTTTGTATAGCTGTGTTTATAGCTTTGAATGAATCCTAGAAATGAGATCCAAACTCTACTGGGCACTTGCTTTCTTAAGATTGGTGCATGGCAGATCATAAAGTGCAAATGGATTGCTCTTCTTCCCTATTAAGAAGGTATATCTTGGCCTTTTCCTGGTATATACTGAAAAGCTCAGAAGAGGATACAGATGAACAATGTGTCCATAGTTTGTAGCTTCAGCTCAGATCCACAGTTACTAGTGGCCAACACTTTCCTTCTCTCAGTTCTTAAAACTCAGGGAAAATTGTGGCTTCCACTTCATGAATGAGGAGCATTAAACTTTTGGCAGCTTCCATAAACTGTCACAGAAAACACTGATGGTTAGGCTAAACTCAGAGATAAAAGCAGAACCAAGGCTGAAACCTCCAAACCTGATCATCTTGACTCTGAAAAACTAATGAAAGCCACTCAGGCAATAGTTTGCTCAAATTTCTCTAGCAACTCTGCCTCTCATCACACAGGAGAAATGCTACATCTCCCCAGGGCACGTGACATTCTGGTTTTGGCTGAGAAAGCTGTCCCCTACATCACACAGCTCTGCAGCGGACCTCTCTCCACTAAACACACTCACTTCCCACATGAGCTACCATATGTCTTACCCTTCATAAGAAGTTGGGTGTGAATCCATTTTTATTTTAGCAAGGACTCTGATTCTGTTCGTCATTAATCTTCCCCCTTTGCCTCATCCTTCATCTCTTGCCAAATGACTTTTCACTGGACTTATTTTAAAGGACAAAACATTCCTTTACTCCCTCTGTTAAGAGATGCCACGAGAAATTAAGAAAATGGCTGGCGAACTTCTTTTGTTTAATGAGGGATTTGTGTTCCAGCTTTCACATGTGAATAAGTGATTTTCACTAATGGGAACCTGTTAAAGAAACTTAGTGAAAAAAAAAAAAGAAACTTAGTGAAAATTACTCTAGTGTCTCTTAACAGACCGTGCTGTAGTGATTCTCAAATTTTAGTATCTTTAACAGAATCCTACAGAACATGTTAAAAATGTGGAATCCTGGGTTTAGAATCCCCATCCAACCTTGTGGCAACCCAGGAATCTGTTTTGTTTTGGTTTTGGTTCTGGAGATCGAACTCGGGACCTTGCATTTTAAGGGCAGGCACCAGAACCACTGAGCTAAATTCCTGGCCCTAGGAATCTGTATTTTTGAGAGCTCATGGAGTAATTCTGATGAAGGTATCCCCAGAACATACCTTGAAATACATGGACTCAATGAATGTTTATCCACATCGCAAAGAGAACTTGCAGCCTTGGTTTGGGGATAGCCTGGCTTCAGGGTATTGGAATGTTAAGGGGTCAGGGCCAAAGGGCTGGGGGGAGATGTGGGGGCCTGGGATGTCAAAGGTCACCTCCACTTCTCTTCTAACGAAGTCCTTAGCTTGTCTTGTTTTCATGCGTTTTGAACTTACTTGTTATTAAAATAAAGAATAGTCTGTTCAAATTCTTTCCGTGAATCTTTCCTGGTTCCTTAAGAGCAAATGGCCAGGAATCGTCTTTGCTCTTTGCTACTTGGCCGTCACTACTCAGCTTAGACTCAGTGTTCTTGCTTGGAATCACATTTCCAATCTGTACCATAACTAATCTGGACTTTGAAAATCAAAATTAGCAAGCATGATATGTAACCTGAACGTGATTTTTTTTTCAATAACTGGAACTCTTAATATTTGGTTTTGCTTAATGACCTAAGACACGAATCCACAAGGATTACTATTTCTGCCCAATTCGATTTACACACAAGAGTAGAATTCACATAACCCGGCTTTAATTTTTCTCGTATAAATAATTAATTCTACATTTAAAAACACGTTAAGATGTTTTATTTCTTAATCAGCTAATTTGACTGGGAAACAAAGATGCCTTTTATTCACATTTTCTTTGAGTCCTGTTACTGTAGTAAAAGTTCCCCACAAGATTTGGCCTTCACTCACTAGTTTCCTGTCTGCCAATTAGTTTCCAGAGCAGCTATTTTACAAAAATGCTTCTCACTTTTAAAAAATGTAATTGAATGTCTGTTCATCACAGAGTTTCTTGTGTTCAAGCCCAGGGTGTTAAACATTTTTCGGGTTGACTTGGGTCAGCTTTGAAAATTTTCAGACAGTGAAACTTGAGAAGGGACTGTATGCTTCAGCGTGTTCCTCACATTCTGTTAAATATTAAGTGGATATTAAAATGGAGTTGTTATACCTCTCAACTGACTTCAAGTGTGCCATATAGTTTACAAGACTATTAATTAAATGAGAGGATTGCATGGGATGCACATGTATTTTCATAATCATTCACATTGGCCCAGAGTTGCCCTTTAATTTTCAGACTAATTAAAGTAACATATTGAACTGCAAAGGGTGGATGGCTGCGTTTCTGCAGAGATGTTAACACTGGAGAAAGTGGAATGGTAAATTTTTCACTTTGAAAGGAAGGGAAAAGCCTGAGAGAAGAAAGAATTCGCCTGAGTGGACCTGACTCCATTCCATTCATGGCTCCCTATTTGTTCCACTTCTGGATCAAGTTTTTAATTTAACAAGACTTCGTTGGGGGATGGAGGGGCTTCGACCCCATCTGTTTGGGGCCAGAGTGTGCCCCACCTGGTGGTGCAATTGATTTTTGAATTAACTGGGCTTTATTTCAGTACAATAGAGTGATTGTTTAGTTGCTTTTAAGCACTAGGATTCTTGGAATCTGATGGGCAAAAAAATAAATCAGAGTGCAATGTGCAGCTCTCTCGGCTGCTAATTGCATCTGACCCATTATCCTCCACAGCCCTAGTGCAAACTTTGACACGGCTGACTTGGAGTTTGAAGCATAAATGGAAAGGGTGCTTTTGCAGGTCATCATACTGCAGAAAGTCCATTCCTGGAACACTTTCCAAGGCCTGAAAAAGAGAAGAAACAGATATGAGCAATTATCCCAGGATTGTGCAGCTGCTGGCATTTGGGGCTGGGCAGACACAGCCACTGGCCCAGCTCCCTCCGGCACCACCCAGGGAGGGGAGCGGGGATGGAGGGGCTCAGGCTGTCCCTACACACAGAGGCAGAGGTGTCAAACGACCCGGGTGTGTGTATGTGTGTGTGTGTTTGTGTGTTCTGCACATCCGGGGAAAGAGTGGCTGAAGGGAGTTCCCCTTCTGCCTCCCACACCCACCTTTAAAAAGCAGGTTGCTTTTGCACCCACTTTTTCCTGCCTCCCTCGCTTTGTCCTCACCACTGTGGCTGTGCCTCACTACCCAGAAAGCCTCTTTGAAAAGAGCACAGGCTTTATAAAGATCCTCTTTTTCTTCACAAAGAAAAGTTCCCCCACTCCTAAGAGGTTCATCCAAAAGAAATATCTTGCCTACTCCCCAGCCGGGTGTGACACAAGGATGTGAATGGCGCTGTGAATCAGCTGTCCTCCAGCCACAGCTCTCTCCCTGAGGGCGCCATCTTCAGCATGGTTAACAGTGACTGTATAAACAGACCCAGGGACAATGGTTTAAGGATGGAATTGAGCTTGATAGGAGAGAAAGGAGTGACTGGAGAGGGCCCATGGGGGACAGGGTCATTTTCAATTCAAGAGAGGTTCTGGAGGCTCAGGGAAAAATTGCACCTGAAAAAAGAAACTGGGTCCAAGCACGAACTCTTCAAGTTGGAGAGAAAACTCACTCTTTAAAGGCAGGGGTAGGGGACCCCAGGAAACAGGGCAGCAGACAGTCAGCTATGGGAACGTCCCTCCACCCTAAGTCTCCAGTCCAGTAGGAGTTCTCTAGGCGTGAGTTCAGACAGGAACTTTGGTCAGTATGACCGGGCACATCAAATCCCAGCTACTCTACCCATGACCTTGGCCACATTATGTAACTCTTCTGCCTCCGTTTGCAAAACCCTCATACAGATCAGTAATAAACAGTAATACAAAAATATCTTTGTTGTGAGGAATTCCATGCTAAAACCTGGTGTGAGGTAAGCTCTTAAAAATTTCAGATCGTATGATCATTAGAATGTAGGTAAGGGCTCATCATGTTTGCTAAAGGCAGCTGGAGTTCCCCAAAGAGGACCAGAAGTTCAAGCATCAGACAGCACTGACAAAGCAGCACACAGGTTGGAGGCCTGGCTTCTGGTAGTCTGAGCTCTGGGGTCTAGAGACCTCACACCTGGTGGAGGAGGCAGGTAGCTGTACCAGTAAAAGGGCAAAGATACTGTTGCTCTTTGTGGCCCAGGGCACCACTGACCATTAGATCCTGCCTGGCAGAGATCTCCTTACCCCCCAAAGAAAGGGTTTCTGCCTCACTCTGCACCAGGGGGACAAGGTGTTGGTGTGCACCCAGGCCTACTACACTCTGCCTTTACCCTAAAGATGGAGAGACCAACCCAATGTTGATGCTTATCGTGTGATGATTAATTTCGTGAATCAATTTCACTGAGCTGAGGGATAATCAGATAGCTGGTGTGCCATTCATTGTGGGTGCATCAGGGCTGGGGATTTAGCTCAGTGGTTCTGCCACCTACCTTGCAAGTGCAAGGTCCCGAGTTCAATCCCCAGTACCAAAAAAAAAAAAAAATCCGGTGTGGGTGCATCTGTGAAGGTACATCTATTTTTTTGGTGGGGGAAACTGGGAATCAAATTCAGGACCTTGTGCTTATGAGGCAGGCACTAGAACCGCTGAGCTAAATCCCTGGCCCTGTGAAGGTGCATCTTAAAGAGATCAGCATTTGAATTGACAGACTGCTGAGACACCCTCACCAAGCCAAAAGGGCATCATCCCATCCATTAAGGACCTGAACAGAGCAAAGAAGTGGAGGAACAGCAAATTCACTCCTGTGCTTTAGTTGGCACAAGCATCTTCTCTTGTCCTTGAATCTTAGAGCCTATGGCCCTCTGGCCTTTGGACTCAGACTGGTATTTACATTATCAGTCCCCAAGTTCTCAGTCTTTGGACTGGAATTTACACCCCTGGCCACCTTGGTTCTGTTTAGAATGGAAGTACATCACTGGCTTCACTGGTTCTCTAGCTTCTCAGGCTCCATCATCACATGAGCCACTCCCTCATCATAAATCTTCCTATACATCTCTGTGTATATTCTATTGGTTCTGTTTCTCTGGAGAACCTTGACTAATACAGCTGGGTTTGGCCATGGTTTCTTTTCCCAGTGGGAAACCAGAAGATGATGCTTTGTGAGAGTTTAGTTTATAGCTCCTGTGTGTATTTAAATAAACGTGTAAGGCACTGACTTTAACAGTACTGCAACAGAGCCATCCCACCCATGTTCTCATCTCAGAGATAGAAAAATGTGCTAGGTTTGGGGCCAGGTCTACACTGCACCTGGACCCCTATATTTGCCAGTAAATAGAAGCACATGGAGTTATTAATTAGCTTTTATGAGTTAATTAGCATTCATATGTAATGTCAACACAAGATGATGAACTAAGCTAGATTGTTTGGGAAGGGGAGATGAAGGAGAAAACTTCTCCTTCCACTTGGATTTACATAAATGTTACTTCCCAGAATGAACCCCCACCTAGGAGTCAGAAGAAATAAACACAAATATTCAGGGTAAGACAGTAAATTCCCTGAATATGAGGGTGGCCTCTCCAGAGTTTCTGGTTTCCATTACTAATCTATTTCATATTGAATGGATTTGAGGCTCAGTTTAAAGAAAACATGCAGTAGCAACATAACTACCCAGGGTTGCCATATGTAACTCTTTTTCATGAATTTTTTTAGTTGAAAGGAAATTCAATGATCACTGTATTATGTCCCAAGCTTCAGGTAAGAAAATCCAAGTCCTAAAGTTAATAACAAATGTGGGGCTACAAACTTCACATCTCTACCTCTCTTTCAGTGTCTCAAAAACATTTCCCTTTCAGCCAGTCTTTCAGCTCAGCTCAGTAAGAATTTAGGTCAGTTGATGTCCTTACTTCGGTTTTTCCCGGGCAGGGGAACCAAGTGGAAACCTGTGGGAACCACCAAACTTCTAATGAAAACAGGAGGCAAGTTATACTGGGCTTACAGAATTTAACTTTCTAGAGACTAAAAGGAGTTTGGGAGAGAGGGAAAGAAAGGAAAGCAGCAGCTGAATGAAAGAGGAGACAGGAATGGTTAGAAAACTAGAAATGCCTGGAGGACTATCAGTTCTCAGTTCTTCCATCCATTTGGAAATCTGACCGATTTTATGCACATCTGTAATAATTGAATTAAATTTTAACAGTGGTTTGTTTTTTGTTTTTTGTGGGGGTTTTTTTGTGTGTGCCAGGGATCAAACTCGGGTCCTTGCGCTTGCGAGGCAGACGGCGGAACCACTGAGCTAAATCCCCGACCCTTAACAGTGGTTTTTAATGGGTTAAAATACCTTTGAAAGTTTTTCCCATGTTCAATCTATACCAGCTGTTTTGCTCACAAAAACCCACTCACAAAAGGATGGCCCACAATTTTGGTTATAGTGCCCATCTTTCTTTGCTCTCTTACAAAGTCTTTGATATAATAAACTCTTATCTAATTTCTAAAGGATACCCTGTGTCTCTCAATTATGATTTTCGATAGCAGAGCATCACTCCAAGTCTCTTAAGCTATGTTGGAACAATATCCAGTATTATAACCATTCAAGGAAATGAAGGCAGACTAAGTGCTTAGCCAGGATATTCAGGTCTTATGTTCACATAGATCCCTTGTTTGGAACAGTGGGATATCCTGCTGATATCATAATATTTCAGTAATACCACATTTCTGCAAATAAGCATGGTTTCCATCCTAGTAAATTGGCTGTAGTTCTCAGACTCATTGTTGATGATTCTAATCTGCAATTATGCATTTTGTTTGTTTATTAGTAAAGAAAATAACTAAGAGACCAAAGATGACCTCTATCTCATTTTTTTTGGTCCATCTACACAGAATTTTGTATTCTACCCAAAATTTAGTGTTGATTTTCAACTTGGTTGGGAGCTTATTCCAAAGTAATTCCCACATCTCCTAAGACAATCATCTTCCCTGAATTTTTACCTTTCTTTGTCCATCAATTCATCACTGGAGAACAAATTGTCTGATCATTAGAGTTCATTGTCTTCTTGATGTTCCCTTGGGATGCTGCAGTATTGGAGTTTGTACTGCAATTATGCAGTGGTCTTATGTAAATGTGTCGATAGTCTTTCAAATTCTCATCAGTGGGTTTAACTGACTCAGTAAAGTAGCTCAGGCCAACAAAGCCTTTCTGAGCTCTATTAATGTACAAGAACTTCTGGATGGCTATCTCAATGATCCAGTGTTCTTCTGGAACTGTGGGCCCATAATCAACCACCAACTTTTCCTGCTGAAGTTTGTACACTGCTGATTTAGATAATGGGGTGAGGGTTTCAGCAATGTTAAAAAGTTGAATAGGCATCAGCAGCTCTGATGCTAGAGAACCTACCAGTAGGTGGTCACTTCAGGTATGTCTTTGTAGCTGCCAAGTGTGCTTGGTGTCTGCCAGAATTAAGATTCAGGGTTGGTATAAATGCAGCATCCTCCTCTGCTTCAGGTATAGATTTTATAAGTGGCATTTACTGTGACTGAAATCACTTGACAGTCCTATCCAGGGAACTCTATCCAAGCAGCAGGCCAAAGGATGCGTGAGAAACACATTCACCACTGAAGCCTGTCAATGACTCTGCATCATCCTGGGGATGAAATGTATGCTTGTTTCCATTGAATATGTATAGAAGCCTTCTTCATCTGACCCTTTCATTATCTCTTCTCTTGTTCTCTATGATCCAACATCCATCCATCTGTGCTGTTCTTTTTACCCCATACCTTTTCTCTACCTGGAATACCCTTCCACTGTGGCCTGATCTTTTTATTATCTACAAGGCTAAGCTCCTTCTGGAAACTTCCTCTATTATCTTTCCTCTCTGACCACATAAAGTTTCACT